GTAGGCCTACATTATGTTATCTATGTATTGTGTAGGCCTACATTATGTTATCTATGTATTGTGTAGCCATTATGTTCTATGTATTGTGTAGACTCTACATTATGTTATCTATGTATTGTGTAGGCCTACATTATGTTATCTCTGTATTGTGTAGGCCTACATTATGTTATCTATGTATTGTGTAGACCTCATTATGTTATCTATGTATTGTGTAGACCTACATTAATGTTTATCTATGTATTGTTGTAGGACCTACATTATGTTATCTATGTATTGTGTAGGCCTACATTATGTTATCTATGTATTGTGTAGCCTACATTATTTTATCTATGTTTGTGTAGACGCTACATTAAGTAAGTTATCTATGTAATTGGTGTAGACCTACATTATGTTATTCATGTAGTGGTGTAGGCCTACCTTATGTTATCTAATGTATTGTGGTAGGCCGACCATTATGTTATCTATGTAATTGTGTAGACCTACATATATGTTATCTAATGTATTGTTGTAGACCTACATTATGTTATCTAATGTATGGTGTATGACCTACATTATTATCTATGGAGTGTGGTAGGCCTAATTATGTTATCTATGTATTGTGTAGGCCTACATTATGTTATCTATGTATTGTGTAGCCTACATTATGTTATCTATGTATTGTGTAGACCTACATTATGTTATCTATGTATTGTGTAGGGCCTACATTATGTTATCTATGTATTGTGTAGGCCTACATTATGTTATCTATGTATTGTGTAGACCTACATTATGTTATCTATGTATTGTGTAGACCTACATTATGTTATCTATGTATTGTGTAGCCTACATTATGTTATCTATGTATTGTGTAGACCTACATTATGTTATCTATGTATTGTGTAGACCTACATTATGTTATCTATGTATTGTGTAGGCCTACATTATATCTGTATGGTACTACATTTGTATCTATGTATTGTGTGACCTACATTATGTTATCTATGTATTGTGTAGCCTACATTATGTTATCTATGTATTGTGTAGGCCTACATTATGTTATCTATGTATTGTGTAGGCCTACATTATGTTATCTATGTATTGTGTAGACCTACATTATGTTATCTATGTATTGTGTAGGCCTACATTATGTTATCTATGTATTGTGTAGGCCTACATTATGTTATCTATGTATTGTGTAGGCCTACATTATGTTATCTATGTATTGTGTAGGCCTACATTATGTTATCTATGTTATTGTGTAGGCCTACATTATGTTATCTATGTATTGTGTAGACCTACATTATGTTATCTATGTATTGTGTGGCCTACATTATGTTATCTATGTATTGTGTTAGGCCTACATTATGTTATCTATGTATTGTGTAGACCTACATTATGTTATCTATGTATTGTGTAGGACCTACATTATGTTATCTATGTATTGTGTAGGCCTACATTATGTTATCTATGTATTGTGTAGGCCTACATTATGTTATCTATGTATTGTGTAGGCCTACATTATGTTATCTATGTATTGTGTAGGCCTACATTATGTTATCTATGTATTGTGTAGGCCTACATTATGTTATCTATGTATTGTGTAGGCCTACATTATGTTATCTATGTTATTGTGTAGGCCTACATTATGTTATCTATGTATTGTGTAGGCCCTACATTATGTTATCTATGTATTGTGGTAGGCCTACATTATGTTATCTATGTATTGTGGCCTCGTATGTTTCTATGTATTGTGTAGGCCTACATTATGTATCTAGTATTGTGTAGGCCTACATTTATGTTTCTATGTATTGTGTAGGCCTACATTATGTTATCTATGTATTGTGTAGACCTACATTATGTTATCTATGTATTGTGTAGGCCTACATTATGTTATCTATGTATTGTGTAGGCCTACATTATGTTATCTATGTATTGTGTAGGACCTACATTATGTTATCTATGTATTGTGTAGGACCTACATTATGTTATCTATGTATTGGTGTAGGACCTACATTATGTTATCTAGTATTGTTAGGCCTACATTATGTTATCTATGTATTGTGTAGGCCTACATTATGTTATCTATGTATTGTGTAGACCTACATTATGTTATCTATGTATTGTGTAGGGCCTACATTATGTTATCTATTGTATTGGTGTAGGCCTACATTATGTTATCTATGTATTGTGTAGACCTACATTATGTTATCTATGTATTGTGTAGACCTACATTATGTTATCTATGTATTGTGTAGGCCTACATTATGTTATCTATGTATTGTGTAGACCTACATTATGTTATCTATGTATTGTGTAGACCTACATTATGTTATCTATGTATTGTGTAGACCTACATTATGTTATCTATGTATTGTGTAGGCCTACATTATGTTATCTATGTATTGTGTAGCCTACATTATGTTATCTATGTATTGTGTAGACCTACATTATTTATCTATGTATTGTGTAGACCTACATTATGTTATCTATGTATTGTGTAGACCTACATTATGTTATCTATGTTTGTGTAGACCTACTATGTTATCTATGTATTGTGTAACCTACATATGTTATCTATATTGTGTAGACCTACATTATGTTATCTATGTATTGTGTAGACCTACATTATGTTAGCCAGGTCCGTTTTGGACAGCGTAAAACTCCCTCCATGTAGGTTACATGTCCATATGTCCATCATGAAACCAGAGATGAGATGATGCTGGTGACTCTTGTATTCAGAACTTATTTTCCTGTAACAATATTTTCTGCCCCCCAGAGCCCTTGCTTGTTTTTTGTTTAATTTGAGTAAAAACCCAAACATATTAGAATGATTCACCATCCTGGCTTTATGATGAGGACGTCCAGCTTGCATGCAATGCGATTTAGGAGCACATTTTATCTTGCTTATTGACTACGTTTGACATGTCCATGGCTCAGCCATAATGCAATTTACAGTAGACATAGCCCCTATATCAGTGTGAATGTTTAACAATATATTTCCATATTGAAGCCACGCAATTAATTAAAACAATGTGGACTGCAAACATGTTCAACATTTTTAGCAAAGATGGGGTAGGCCTACATTATATTATGTTGGTTTTGCAGGCTATTTAAAAAAAAATAGGCTATAACAGACTAACATCCTAATTGAAGTTGATGACAACGTAATACACAAAAGACTGTAAATACACAACTTGAAGCAACCACATATTTAGCCATGGAGCACGTTCTGATTGGCCAGTGAGGGGGTCAAGCCTCCAACATGTTTATTTATCAAAACCCAGCTCTTTTGCGCCACCCACCGCCAGCTACTGCGCCCATAATTCCCGCTGTGAAAATAGCAAAAGTTTTGTCTTCACACACCCCTGGACCTATAGCTCTACCACCAGCGCTAAGATTTACCATTGGTTATGTTTGTTAAAATGGAGCCCTTAGTGGGTTTATGAAGGGACGGTGCCTGATCCAGAGACTAGTCCGTGGTTTGGGGCGTGCCTCTCTCTCACACCCTCTTACTCTTCCCTTCACACAGCCAACTGCACATCAGACAGACACTTTTGTTTCTGTGCTGTGAAGATGAGAGAGAGAGAGAGGCAGTGTGGGAATTGAGTAAATGTCACTATCCCACAGTTGTCGTAGCCAATGAGCTGGCTGAGATCGCCCCCAGAGTACTGCCAGAGTCCCGCCTGTTGACTCTAAGACATTACCTACCTACCGTTGGTTGATATTTAGGCAATAAGCCCACAGGTTCTACAACACTCCTTACCTCCCGTCTGCCAAATAGGAGATTGATGGCTTAGCTGGACCATAATGGTCCAAAATCAATTCCCATACTACAGTTGTATGGGACCATGTAAGACTGGTTTAGCCACATAGTTTCCCACGACTATTCTGATTTCCCAAGAGATCCAACACTTGAAGAAAACAGCCTATGTATAGAACGTAGAAAACTATTCAATCCATTTCCCCCAAAAAACATTCTCATAGAATACCATTGGATGACATCTGCATCTCCATCTGCAGGTGAGATATGGAGCAGCTCAGCTGGTAGCTAACTATTGTGACCGCTAGGAGGGGTGCACTTCGCTTTTGGTTTTACACAATGGCATGACACAGCATGGAGTCAGGACAGATGGTCATGGAGTCAGTTCAGATGGTCATGGAGTCAGTACAGATGGTCATGGAGTCAGTTCAGATGGTCATTGAGTCAGTACAGATGGTCATGGAGTCAGGACAGATGGTCATGGAGTCAGTACAGATGGTCATGGAGTCAGTTCAGATGGTCATGGAGTCAGGACAGATGGTCATGGAGTCAGTACAGATGGTCATGGAGTCAGTACAGATGGTCATGGAATCAGTACAGATGGTCATGGAGTCAGGACAGATGGTCATGGAGTCAGTACAGATGGTCATGGAGTCAGTACAGATGGTCATGGAGTCAGTTCAGATGGTCATGGAGTCAGGACAGATGGTCATGGAGTCAGGACAGATGGTCATGGAGTCAGTACAGATGGTCATGGAGTCAGTACAGATGGTCATGGAGTCAGGACAGATGGTCATGGAGTCAGTACAGATGGTCATGGAGTCAGTACAGATGGTCATGGAGTCAGGACAGATGGTCATGGAGTCAGGACAGATGGTCATAGAGTCAGTACAGATGGTCATGGAGTCAGGACAGATGGTCATGGAGTCAGGACAGATGGTCATGGAGTCAGTACAGATGGTCATGGAGTCAGGACAGATGGTCATGGAGTCAGGACAGATGGTCATGGAGTCAGTACAGATGGTCATGGAGTCAGGACAGATGGTCATGGAGTCAGTACAGATGGTCATGGAGTCAGTACAGATGGTCATGGAGTCAGTACAGATGGTCATGGAGTCAGGACAGATGGTCATGGAGTCAGGACAGATGGTCATGGAGTCAGGACAGATGGTCATGGAGTCAGGACAGATGGTCATGGAGTCAGTCAGATGGTCATGGAGTCAGGACAGATGGTCATGAGTCAGTACAGATGGTCATGGAGTCAGGACAGATGGTCATGAGTCAGGACAGAGTCATAGTCTACGATGGTCTGGAGTCAGACAGATGTCAGGTCAGGACAGATGGTCCATGGAGTCAGGACAGATGGTCATGGAATCAGGACAGATGGTCATAGAGTCAGACAGATGGTCATGGAGTCAGGACAGATGGTCATGGAGTCAGTACAGAAGCAGGTGGGGCTCTGAGGCAGTGCCAGGCAGAGTAGAGCAGAGTAGAGCCGCCAGTAGAACTGAGCAGAGCAGAGCAGAGCCACTAGGCAGAGCAGAGCAGAGTAGAGCAGAGCAGAGCAGAGCAGAGCCACTAGGCAGAGCAGAGCAGAGCCACTAGGCAGAGCAAAGCAGAGCAGAGTAGCAGAGCCATAGCTAGAGCAAGCGAGCATAGCAGAGCAGAGCAGAGCCACAGTAGAGCAGAGCAGAGAGCAGCCAGAGCCACTGAGGCAGAGCAGAGCAGAGCAGAGCCACTAGGCAGAGCAGAGCAGAGCAGAGTAGAGCAGAGCAGAGCCGCCAGTAGAACTGAGCAGAGCAGAGAGCAGAGCCACTAGGCAGAGCAGAGCAGAGCAGAGCAGACTAGCAGAGCCAGCTAGTGCAAGCAGAGCACTAGCAGAGCATAGAGCAGAGCAGAGACGAGAGCCAGCAGGCCACTAGCAGAGCAGAGTAGAGCAGCAGAGCCATAGACAGAGCAGAGCAGAGCAGAGAGAGCATAGGCAGAGCAAGCAGAGCGAGCATAGCGCAAGCAGAGCAGAGCAGCAAGCAGAGCCTGGCCAGAGAAGCTGAGCAGCAGACATAGCAGAGCAGAGGAGCCACTAGGCAGAGCAAGCAGCAGCAGAGGCTAGAGCCGCAGAGCAAGCAGAGCCCTAGCAGAGCAGAGCAGAGCAGAGCAGAGCCAGGCAGAGCAGAGTAGAGCAGAGCAGAGCCGCCAGTAGAATAGAGCAGAGCAGAGCAGAGCAGAGCCACTAGGCAGAGCAGAGCAGAGCAGAGCAGAGCCGCCAGTAGAACTGAGCAGAGCAGAGCAGAGCAGAGCCACTAGGCAGAGAGCAGAGCAGAGCAGAGCAGAGCCACTAGGCAGAGCAGAGCAGAGCAGAGCAGAGCCACTAGGCAGAGCAGAGCAGAGCAGAGCAGAGCAGAGCAGCAGAGCAGAGCCCTTAGGCAGAGCAGAGCAGAGCAGAGCAGAGCCGCCAGTAGAAGCTGAGAGCAAGAGCAGAGCAGAGCAGAGCCACTAGCGCAGAGCAGAGCAAAAGCAAGCAGAGCAGAGCAGAGCCACTAGGCAGAGCAGAGCAGAGCAGAGCAGAGCAGAGCAGAGCAGAGCAGAGCCAACCCTAGGCAGAGCAGAGTAGAGCAGAGCAGAGCAGAGCAGAGCCACTAGGCAGAGCAGAGCAGAGCAGAGCAGAGCAGAGCAGAGCCACTAGGCAGAGCTAGAGCAAGAGCAGAGCAGAGCAGAGCAGAGCCACTAGGCAGAGCAGAGCAGAGCAGAGTAGAGCAGAGCAGAGCAGAGTAGAGCAGAGCAGAGTAGAGCAGAGCAGAGCAGAGTAGAGCAGAGTAGAGCAGAGCAGAGCAGAGCAGAGCCACTAGGCAGAGCAGAGCAGAGCAGAGAAGAGCCACTAGGCAGAGCAGAGTAGAGCAGAGCAGAGCAGAGCAGAGTAGAGCAGAGCAGAGCAGAGCAGAGCTAGAAGAGCTGGTTCTGTCAGTCTGCTGCTGAGACATCAGTACACGGTGAGTGGTGACATCAAGCTGCATCGACAGACAGACAGACAGAAAGACAACACACCTGGGAAGAAGTTACCCTTTCTTTCTCTGTGAATAATAACACTCCAAATCAGTTGTCAGTCAGATGAGATCAGCTGGGGGAAAGTCCTATAGACTAAAGCTACCTACTGGCCGAAAGGTGAAGGACTGGGATGTATTGAGATGCATAATGTACCATTACCATTCTGGAGGATCCAGGCATGAGCATGTGCCTTGAGTGATTGTTAATTTATTCAAAGATACACAATGATCTCTTCCTGTTACAACTGAACTGTCACGGCTCTGAGAAAAAACACCAGGAGCTCAGCTGGGATTATTTTATTTTTGAGGAATAAAACCCCTGGAATAGGCCTAAAGGTTGAGCTTGGACCAACTGTCATGGCTGAGGCTCTGAGAAAAAATGCTGCGGGTTCTCATGTGTCATGAGATGAGGTAGACTAACCCCCCCCCCCCCCCCCCCAACCCCCCCCCAGGCAGAGTTGTGCAATAGAGGGCTTTCATATATTGAGCATTACAAAACAGCCTGGAGCACTGATTGTCTTGATAAAACCTTCACACACTTATCATGTAGACAGATTTTCTACCTACAGTTTCAACCTTTTTCCAGGTGAATATGATGTCATAACATGACCCCAGACCTCACTGGAAGATCCAGCTGACTCTAAAATTAACCTTTTCACTTCACATGTTAGAACACATCAATCAACCACATCTCAGATATCACACTTCTGCTTATCCAACTCAAATAATAATTCATTTAAATAATGTTGAATCAGCGGACAATTTTTTTTATATATATGCGAATGCTTTTCCAAACAAAATATCTGTCATTGCTAGGATAACATTGTGACTGGTCCTACTGTATGATTTGGGAATTTGTAAAGTGTGTTGAGACCCATGTGAAATGCACTTTAAAAAATAAATGAACTTAAAACATCTATTGATTTGATAGGAACTGTTACCGTCCAGGTGGCAGACTTGGCTGTGGATGACTGTTGGAAGGAGACGTCGAAGGTGTGTGTCCCAGCGTAGTCTGTGTTGGAGGGGATGGCCGGGGAGGGGGACATGGCGTCGAAGGTGGAGCTGGGCTGGGCGTAGGGTGAGGGCGCTGACACGTTGTTCTGGACATGGTCGTTGTTGTAGGGACTGGTGGAGGTAGAGCCGCCATTTTGGATGTTCTGATCCATGCTGTTCAGCAGCCCCAGGTTGGTATACTGGGACTAGGGAAGAAGAAAGAGAGAGAGATAGATGGAAGAGAGAGATAGATGGAAGAGAGAGAGGAGAGAGAGAGAGATGAGAGAGAGAGAGAGACTGTAGTATTTAGCTCGCGCATCTTCGACGATCTCGGCTAGAGGACGCGAGATATGAGAGATAGAGAGAGTAACATCAGATGAATCCGTATGCTCTGTACGTCTACTCTCGGCTCTGGCGCCATCTCCTCTCTCAATGCTCCCGCTTCTCGCTCTCCCCTCTCGTCGCTTCTCTCCGCCTCTCCTCTCGCTCTCTCGCTAGCCCTCTCTCGAGAGCGAGCGAGAGCAGAGAAAGAAAGATGGAAGTAAATTAGTTTAATGACCAACTGTGGGTCCAATGGAAATTCGACTTCCACTTTATCCCAACCCCACCAAAAGACACACACACACACAGAGGCTGGACAGGTTGGAGCAGAGGGCAGCCATATTACGGTGCTCGTGGAGCAGTTTTAGGGGATAAGGGCCACAGTGCCTTACTCAAGGGCCAGGTTGTTGCACTATGACTAGGGTGAGGTGAGAAGATGGAGAGGGAAGAAACAACACAGGAATGTCTCCTAGAAATGACTCATAACAGGAGAATGTTACTGTGTTTCAGTCTGAAGCTCACTTTTCACAGACTGCAGATTATGTTGATTTTAAATGAAGAAACAATAGCCTCTGTGATAAAAAACGGATTCTTTAAAGGTACAATGTAGCCATTTCTATCTCAATATCAAATCATTTCTGGGTAAAAATTAAGTACCTTACTGTGATTGTTTTCAATTAAAATGGTTAAAAAAAAAAGAAAAAAAAATATCTTCTTAGCAAAGAGCAATTTCTCAAGCAAGAAAACGAGCTGTTATTGGCAGAGGGGTTTGGAACTCTCTTTCTTATTGGTCTATTAACTAATTTATCACCTGGTGATGTCACCAGGCAGGCCAAAACTCCATCCCACCAAAACAGGCTGACATTTCAGGCGGTCTTTTCAAACAGCTCTTACACTAAAAGGGAATTATCATCATTTTCACAATTCCACAGTATTATTCCAACCTCGTAGTGTGGAAATATATATAATACACAGGATTTTTTTTGCATTTTTGACTGCACTGGGCCTTTAAGACAGATTACCTTTGTGTCATTGTCGGCTGGTTAAAGAGCCACTGAAGACGCTGTTTGGCACGTTTTTTTCTGTTGCTCATTAGAAAAAAACAGATTTCAGTCTTGGAGGTGTGTTTCCTGACCGATTCCGCATTCAAATACACCCGCATTTACTGAATGTCAACAGCCTTCTCCCCAGATGACACCCTCCATGTCAACAGCTTCCTCCCCAGATGACACCCTCCATGTCAACAGCCCCCTCCCCAGATGACACCCTCCATGTCAACAGCTTCCTCCCCAGATGACACCCTCCATGTCAACAGCCTTCTCCCCAGATGACACCCTCCATGTCAACAGCTTCCCAGTGCCCCCTTCACCTCCCCAGATGACACCCTCCATGTCAACAGCTTCCCTACCCCCCCGATGACACCCTCCATGTCAACAGCCTCCTCCCCCGATGACACCCTCCATGTCAACAGCTTCCTCCCCAGATGACACCCTCCATGTCAACAGCGTCCTCCACAGATGACACCCTCCATGTCAACAGCGTCCCAAGATCACACCCTCCATGTCAACAGCCTCCTCCCCAGATGACACCCTCCATGTCAACAGCTTCCTCCCCAGATGACACCCTCCATGTCAACAGCTTCCTCCCCAGATGACACCCTCCATGTCAACAGCGTCCTCCCCAGATGACACCCTCCATGTCAACAGCGTCCTCCCCAGATGACACCCTCCATGTCAACAGCCTCCCCAGATCACACCCTCCATGTCCACAGCCTCCTCCCCCAATGACACCCTCCATGTCAACAGTCTCCCCAGATCACACCCACCATGTCAACAGCCTCCCAAGATCACACCCTCCATGTCAACAGCGTCCTCCACAGATGACACCCTCCATGTCAACAGCGTCCCAAGATCACACCCTCCATGTCAACAGCCTCCTCCCCAGATGACACCCTCCATGTCAACAGCTTCCTCCCCAGATGACACCCTCCATGTCAACAGCCTCCTCCCCAGATGACACCCTCCATGTCAACAGCCTCCTCCCCAGATGACACCCTCCATGTCAACAGCCTCCTCAGATCAATGGCTACTTCCCAGTGATTTACCAAGCAACAACCATATCAATGATGTCACTGTTACAGTACTGGAGAAACAAGCTTTTCATCACAGACTTTTTCCCAAGAAAGTTTCCCAACTTATTCTACAGTCAGCTTGTTGATCAGACTCAGATCTGTTTACTTACTGGTATTTTAAGTCTATTATTACGTTGTTTAATTTAGATTTATAGACTTCTTTAAGACACAAATCTTTAAACAATGAGAAAAAAAGAACTGCTATCTGCCAAATCATTGCTATTACAAGTAAACCAGTAGTTGACTGTTAGAAAGTGATTCTAGAAATCATGCAGTGATACAACCACAGTATAAGATCCCCATCATCTACAGACTGAGGTAACAAGGGGTTCACACTTAGACAGCACGAGTGGTATCACAATCAAAATGGCCACCTGTTGAGAGGAGGGAGAATGCTTGTTCCCTGGATGATAGCCAGCCCGGCAGTCTGCTCCACGGCGAGATCTCTTCCATCCTCACCTCGCATCGGCCCAATCTCTTACTCTCCTCTCTCGCTCTCTCTCTCTCTCTCGTCTTCTCGTCTCCCCATCTCTCCTCCTCCTCTCTCCTCGTCATCTCTCTCTCTCTCTCTAGATCTCTCTCGCCTCATTATCTCTCTCTTCTCTCTCTCTCTCCTATCTCTCGCTACTCTCACCACTTCCCTTCCAGCTCTATCCGCTCTGCTCTGCTCCTCCATTCCATGCCATTTATAAAAGGCACATTCCAGGCCGAGGTGTCTCTGCCACGGCTCTGGGTCTCTTTAGACAGCCATTAATCTCCGCAGGCAGGACAGACAGGCAGTCAAGGGCCCCTTGTTTATTTCAGGCTGCACGGTCCCCGTCCCACACAGCTGTCTAGTTCACTCCCTCCCACTCACATCACCAGGTGCTGCTTGTTGTGTGTCAGGTCACAAACACAGTAACACACACACACACACACAGTAACACACACACACAATAACACACACACACAGTAACACTAACCAAGTTGACATTGTATGAATACTCTAGAACATAAATAAAATATAACACACCCATTATTTTCCAAAGGGCTACACACTGCATACAGAAGATATGCTAAAAATAAGAAGCAACATTGTATCCACAACACACACACAGAGACACGCATACACACACACACACACACACACACACACACACACACACACACACACACACACACACACACACACACACACACACACACACACACACACACAGAGAGAGCACCTGAGGGAGGTCATCCCAGCCAACGCAAACTAATCTCATCAACAACGCCTCAGGGGAGATGATTTGAGTTGATTTTGGATAACGACCTGTGTGTGCCACGAGTCTGCTCAACCCCCCGGAAACAATGACACTCTGGGTCTTTCAAGAGCCTGTCTAGGGGAACAATGACACTGGGTCTTTCAAGAGCCTGTCTAGGGGAACAATGTCCCGGGTTAGACCAGGCAGGTGTTAGGAGACGTGCGTATTGTGAAAGGAACACACACAAAGGGAAAGATAACTCCATCGAGGGGGTGAGCATACCCTCTAGCCTACACTCAGTGGGTTTTTTATCTCAAAGGACTTTATTGGCATGGGGAAACATGTTTACTATTTCTGTCTCAGACACACCTCCTTCACATGCCTCACAATGGGGCAATTAGAGCATAATGAAGCTTCTTTGGACTGGGGACGGCTGCTGAATCTGATGGCCCCTCTGTGCCTGATCCCTGACTGCATACACTGGCCCTTCGTCCTAAATGGCACCCTATTCCCTATATAGTGCTCTACTGTTGACCAGGGTATAAGTAGTTCACTATATAAGGAATAGGGTTCCCATAGGGCTCTGGTCAAAAGTAGTGCACTATATAGGGAAAAAGGGTGCCATTTGTCATTCACACTGGGTGAAGGCTAGCCTGGTTAGGATCAGATCACACGACTAGATTAGCCTCATGCTAAAGGCTAGCCTGGTTAGGATTAGATCACAATGCTAGATTAGCCTCATGCTAAAGGCTAGCCTGGTTAGACTCAGATCATTAGGCTAGATTAGCCTCATGCTAAAGGCTAGCCTAGTTAGACTCAGATCATTAGGCTAGATTAGCCTCATGCTAAAGGCTAGCCTAGTTAGACTCAGATCACACGACTAGATTAGCCTCATGCTAAAGGCTAGCCTGGTTAGGATCAGATCACACGACTAGATTAGCCTCATGCTAAAGGCTAGCCTGGTTAGGATCCGTTTACAATGCTAGATTAGCCTCATGCTAATGGCTAGCCTGGTTAGGATCAGATGATAAGGCTAGATTAGCTTCTTATGCTAATGACTGTAGCTTGTTATTAGTGTGTGTTTAACAGTAGGCAGACTACCCACTGGTCAAAAACTGGTTGAAATAACGTTGTTTCCACGTAATTTCAACAAAATAAATCAATGTGATGAAGTCGAATCAACGTGGAACACTGATTGAATTCAAATGGCATGGTGACATTTTGATGATTTCACGTTGAATTCACGTTAGTTGACAACTCAACCAAATGTAAATCAAAACTAGACATTGAACTGACGTCTGTTCCCTGTGGGTAGGGACTCATGTAAGTCTTGGAGCTTTGCTTAATGAATCAAAACCATAGCTAAAAAAAATCTAAACCACAGTGATCCTAATAAATTACTACAAAACCTCATAAAACCAAACAACAAGGATTGTTATTGATATCAGATATCATGATTCTTAACCAATCTACAATAGATACAATATTTTCATTACAAAAACAACAGTCCTCTCAGGTAGGCCAGGTACAGGTAATACCTGTGGACACAGCAGCCCAGATGTGACGCAACACTCTCCCTGCTTAGAGATTGTGTTCCCATACATCATGAGTCAGAGCTCTGGTTTAGAGATTGTGTTCCCATACATCATGAGTCAGAGCTCTGGTTTAGAGATTGTGTTCCCATACATCATGAGTCAGAGCTCTGGTTTAGAGATTGTGTTCCCATACATCATGAGTCAGAGCTCTGGTTTAGAGATTGTGTTCCCATACATCATGAGTCAGAGCTCTGGTTTAGAGATTGTGTTCCCATACATCATGAGTCAGAGCTCTGGTTTAGAGATTGTGTTCCCATACATCATGAGTCAGAGCAGGGGTATATCAGCACTAGGGATGTATGGGAACACATTTAGCTGACCAATAAACGTCATCCAACGTTCCAATGAGTGTCACAGTCCTAATCAGCACTGTGCTTTAGAGTGGGTTGTGGAGGTGTTATGGCGTAAGATGCTCCAACTCTCCTACACAACTGCAGCTGACACCCCACAGCCGGCCAATGACAAGGGACCCTGCTTCCTCCTACCTCCCTACCTGGACTGCATCCCAAATGGCACCCTATTCCCTATGTAGTGCACTACTGTGGCCCTGGGTCAAAAGTACTGCACTACGGAGGGAATTGTTTACCATTTGGGATGCTAAACCTGTCTCCTCCTACCTGCTGCTAGCACAACTACCTGGTGTGTGTGTGTGTGTGTGTGTGTGTGTGTGTGTGTGTGTGTTTACGCTAGCAGCTAAATGACGGCCTGACAGCCACTAATTATCACAGAAGGCAAATTATAATTTTAATGAATAGCCTGATGCTGGCCAGAGACCACAGATCAAACATCAAAGCCCTATAGTGGTGGAGAGAAGACTGGAGGTGATGTGCCCTTGAGCAAGGTCGCTCTGGATAAGAGCGTCTGCTAAATAAAAAAATGAGATGACATGATAAGATGATGATTGTTCACTTCTTACCAAGAGGGATATGAAGAGTGAGTGATCTGAAGTACTCTACGTGTATTATATTCCAGGAAAGAATGAACAGATCAGGAATGAAAGAATGAACAGATCAGGAATGAAAGAATGAACAGATCGGGAATGAAAGAATGAACAGATCAGGAATGAAAGAATGAAGGGATCAATGGAAGACAAAAGGAAAAGTTGATTCCGATTTCAAACAAGCAAACCGTCACCCAAAAATTCACCTACAGTCAGATTGAATGTTTAATTGAAGCGGAAGTGGAAGCGATCAACACTTAAAACAGAGTGAGCGAAGGAGACTCAGGCCTCCTCTTCTCTCCTCTTCCCTTTAATCAGGTCTGATTCCACTGTAACACAGCAGCCATTTAATCACCACTGCTCTTAAAAAAATCCCTTCTGTTTATAGCCCTGCTGCTCCTAGCCCTCTGAGGCCAGTGGGAACAGGGTGCCAGGTTGGGACACAGTCATAGTAAATCCAAAAGCCTGGACGTCCTCACCAGCCTTTAATAAAGCTGGT